CACCGACCTGCACTCCGACGTGGACGTCCGCAACGAGCTCGCGCAGACGCCCCTGCACGTGGCGGCGGAGACGGGGCACACGAGCACCGCCAGGCTGCTCCTGCACCGGGGAGCCCGCAGGGAGGCGGTGACCGCGGAGGGCTGCACCGCCCTGCACCTGGCTTCCCGGAACGGCCACCTGGCGACCGTCAGGCTCCTGCTGGAGGAGAAGGCTGATGTGCTGGCTCGGGGGCCCCAGGGCCAGACGGCGCTGCACCTGGCCGCAGCCCACGGGCACGCGGAGGTGGTAGAGGAGCTGGTCAGTGCCGACGTGCTCGACCTGCCCGACGAGCAGGGGCTCAGCGCGCTGCACCTGGCCGCCCAGGGCAGGCACGCCAAGACGGTGGAGACGCTGCTCAAGCACGGGGCGCACGTCAACCTGCAGAGCCTCAAGTTCCAGGGGACCCTCAGCCCCGCTTCCATGCTCCGGCGAAGCAAGACCTAGCCTGCTGCCCTCGGAGCCTGGAACCCTGGCGGGGCTCCCGTCCCACTGTCCTGGCCCAGCGTGGGGACAGAAGGATGTCATGCGTGTCAACTCCCCTCGCCTTGCTGATGGCTGGTGGCGCATCGGCCGGACAGGCCGTCGGGGGCAGGTGGCCGCTGGCTCTTGATTCGTGTTGGAGTCCGCTTGGGCCTGTACCCTCCGCATGAAGGCATTCGACCCACGTGGTCCAGAGGGACGATGGGTCAGAATCATCTCGTCAGGCCCCTGCTCGTGGGTCTTCAGCGGCAGACCTGGGTGCCATTGCATCTGCCCTGACCGGAGCAGAGCCACGGACCACGCCGGCCCGCGGAGGCAGGGCAGGAGCAGCCGCGTCCTGTCTTTGTTGGCGGCAGGCGAAGCAGCCTGTTCCGGAGTGTTTTAGTGGAATTCTTGTTCTACGGAATATCGTCAGTAGATGAACACAGTATCAGCTGTTGCTTTAAATCTTAGAGATGTTCGTGTCATGGGTTAGGCTAGTCTGTGCGGGTCGTGTGCAAACGAGGTTGGTTCCTGAACACAGCGACCTTCCCGGCTCTCCCGCACCCACACCTTTCAGTCGGCTCCTGGTGCCCGCACACACCTCCACCCACACTGCTCGCCCTTGCTCATTTCTCAGTGCAAAGACTGGTTTTGGAACTCCAGAGCCATCTGTGTAAGAGTCATAAAAAATTCGCCACAACCTCAGTTTTGGACTAAAAACGGCGTTACCCAGATGGATGAACCGCCTGCCTCGTGAGTCCCTTCCCAGCTCTGACGTTTGGAAAGCTGGTCGTCCGTGTGGAGTGCTGCTGTTTTGGGGTCTCAGTGAGTGGGGTTTTCTGACCTACCTTACAAATGGCTGCACTGTACAACCCCCCAGGTGGCTCCAGGGGCCCACCACACACTCTGGGCTGTCAACGATGTGGTTAGCCAGCCCTTTTCCCCATTGTAACACGTGTCCCATCAGCACCCCCCAAATACTGTTAATCGAGTGAGTTTGCTGCAGGAGCCGACCCTGTCTGCAAACACGCCCTGTCGTGCGATACGGAGAAAGATTGATGTTAATATACCGTGTATGTTGATGTGAGTCTGTGGGCAGGATACTTCTTTTCTATGACAGGAAATATCCGGACTTTCTTAGAACTGGCTATGTTTTAATATGCCTCGCGCTTTTGCTACAGATGCTACTATCGTATGGAATGTGTGGAAAGCGACGTCTGTCTGGTGTAAATAAAGCTACGTAAGCTACTTTTTTTTGGAGTCAGACTGCTTTTTCTTAGAATAAGTTCGAGTAGTCGGATTTCCGAAAACGGGAGACTCGGGGCTGTCGTGCGTGGTGTGGACACGGTGACACGGGTGACCCCTGGGCGTCCTGCCACCTCAGCCCGGGCCTTTCCGCGCGTGAACCAGCAGGGACGTGAGCGAGTCTTGATGGGAGAAGCTCCCGGCACCGAAGTTTTTATTTCGTTTTAAATGTTTATAATTCTTATGTTCGTTTGTTAACTTTACATTTTGAAAAAATTTGAAATTATAGGGAAGTGATAAGGGTGGCGCGTAGAACTATGGTTATCCCGTTACCTGATTCCCACAGTTTCCATTTCGGCTCATTCTGATCACTCTGTTTTCTTTCTCACCCATCCATCCACCTGTCCATCTACCCCCCATCCACCTGTCGAGGCGGCAGACAGTGTGCCCCGTGACCCCCACATCCTCATGCGGATCTCCTGAAAACAAATTCCTCTATAACCACAGTGTCTCCATTGCAGCCAAGAAATTAATGTCGAGACAATACTTACATCTGACCCACAAATCCTTTTCAAATTGTGTCGATCGTGTCAAACATGTCCTTTAGGGGACAAATGGCCTCCACCTGCAGCAGCAGCAGCAGGAACGATGGACCCTTCCCCTTCTCTGCTCCGGACGCCCTGTGCTTTGTCTCCTGGCCCCTGGTCCTCAGTCTTCTGTTATCTTTCGGGATCTCGCCTTTTTGTGGGCGTAGAGCCAGTTATCTTGCAGAATGTCCTTAATTTAGGTTTGTCTTAATTCCTTCCAGGGTCTGACTTAGGTTATGTATTTATTTTGGTAGGAAAACCATAGATGTGATGATGTATAAAAATAGAGCTTTCTCTTCTCCCCTTTAATATTTTTATTTACAGGCATACCTTGCTTTATTGTGTGTCACTTTATTGTGTTTCACAGGTGTTATTTTTTTTTTTAACAAGTCGAAAGGTGGACCCCCACCCCCAGCAAAAAGCTTGCAGTGTGCTGTATTGCGATGCTCACTTTCTCTCGGTGGTCTGGAACTGACCGCACCATGTCTCTGAGGTGGGCCTGTCTATCAGTAAGCAGTCAGGGATTCCTACTTAATCAGAGGTTTCTACTCCATTATTATTGATCTTGATATTCAAATTATATCAAATTATATTCAAATTATATCAAATCGATATTCAATTATATCAAATTGGTATTCGATTCGGCCACCTCGAGAGCCTTCGCGCGGCTCTTGTGTGTCCCACACGCTTTCTGTCGCGTCCTGCTGTCTGACATCATCTCGCACTGCCCCGGCCCCGGCCCCGGCCCCTGCCCCGGCCCCGGCCTCCGGAGCAGCCATTCCTCCAGGGTATCTGGCTGCTTTTAGCGGAGAATGGTACTTAGAAGCCCAGATCGGGGTGTTGGGTGTGCTCATTGCTCTGGGTGTCGCTGCTTCTGGCCCTCTCGGCAAACAGGTTAGGAGTAGTGTGTAACACGCGTGTGTGCACGTGTGCACATCTCAGTCTTAAGAGCCACGATTTCACACCGGTGCTTTCAATTACAGTCCGACACCCCCGGCCTGACCGCGCTCATGCTTCCCGTGACCGAGGAGGTCCTCGTCCTCCCCAGCGTGCACGTTTGTGCCATCCCCTGCTGTGCCGGTGACCTCCCCAGCCTATGTCCCCTCACATGGGCCGAGCCAGCCTGGTGCCCAGCAGTGTGCCGGTTCAGTCCCTCGGCCTGGGGAACAACAATGCTCTCAAAAGACTTTTGTGCCAAGATTACAAACCCGTGAACTTGTCTTGCTAAAACTCTGCCATTGGCTTAACATCCCTTCCTTTCCACATGGCGCCTCTGTCATGTCATTTCCTGTCCCGTCTTGAGACAGCAGTCGATGAACCGTTGTATTTCTTTGCTTCCCGGGACATTCGGCGCATCCCCCGCCTTCCCTCTGACCCCCAGTCCGTGCTGCTGCGTTCAGGAGCATCTCCTGGTTTGAGGACTGCACGAGCCTCTCTCTCGGAACTTCTACTTCAGGTAAAAAACTGCACATTGGCTGCGAGGAAGAAACAATAGTCTGACACGGTGTGTGGGACCGAGGTGCTGGGGACACCGCCGGCCGGCCCCCCCGGGCCCTCGCCCCAGGCAGCGTCGGGGCGGGCCAGCCTTTCTCCCGCAGCTGAGACCGGGGTTGGCATGGTTCCACGCGAAGTGACTCCCCATGGCTGCAGCAAGTGGGGGCGCAAGGCCGTGTCCCCACGTGGACACGGAGTCCCCAGGTGATGCCACTGACCACGGTCCTCCCGGCAGCCTGGGGTGAGGTCAGGATCGGGCCCGTGGCACCGAACGTCCCCTTGTTTCTGGCCAGGTGTCCTGGCTGGGGACACCTGGCAGACAGCAGTGCTGGAAGGCGGGCTGCGGCCTTGGCTTCAGTCCTGCCCGTCCGCCCCACCCACAGCCGGGCGCGGAGACCCCACGCCCGCAGCACGCCCCACGGTGGCTCGCTCGGCCTCGTGACCGTGACCGTTGTCAGCACTTCCCCCTTCCAGACACACCTGACTCCACACCCTCTAAGGACGGGCTGGACACCTGACCCACGAACGACATGTCTCTTCTGGTGCCAGGGTTTCGTGACTCTACGTCCGACGGACTGTAGGAAACGTGCTCGGTCCTTCTGAAGTCCCTTGGGCAGAGGGCAGCCGCCAGCCAGCCTCCCGGTGGTCTCGCCTGGACCGCGGACAGCAGCAGCCTGTGAACGTGACGGCTTCCTCAGCAAACAGCTGCTTCACCGCGGCCACACCCCGCCCTCGTCCGGGTCGCCGGGCGGGATTCCCGTTCCCCAGGGCCTTTGCGCGCCGGAGGCATCTCGCTGTGCCAAGCGTTAGCTGCCTCACACTTTGGTGGCCGGAGTCCGGAGAACTTAGACTCTTAACCCCACACGAGCTTTCCTCCCTGCCCGCCGCTTTCTCCCTCCTCCTCTCTCCCTCCCCCATTAACCGCCGTGCGAGGTCGGGGCTCAGAACTCCACCTCACGGGGCCCCGCGCGACGTTCTCAGGTGCTCGCGGGCCTGGCCTCTGGCGTGTCTGTGTAGCATCGTGATGGGGGACAGTGGCACTGTGGGCGACGGAGTGAGGAGAGGCACACAGTGGCACTGCTCACTGCTTTAGGCCACGGTGAAGAAAAACGCACTGCGTCGTGGACGCCAGTGTCAGGAACGGCGGGATCTAGGTGTCCGCACAGTCCGCCTTCCGCAACGTCGTTGCTGTCACGAACGGGTGGGCACCTCGCAAAGAAAGGCTTCAACAGCTCCAGCACGCCAGCAGAAAGAGGGCTCCTCCCCCCGACCCCCGGCCCTAAATGAAACAGTTCACAGGTTCTTAGACTCTTTTTTTTCTCCTCGCACATTCTAACAGCTCCGAGAGTTACCGCATCTCACAATCGAAATGGGCGCCGTTTTTTCTCTTTGGCAGGTGTTTTAGATAATGATACATTTTATAATGCATGGCATCTCAGAACTGATGCAATGTGGTGTGTCCGTTCTGAGATGCCGTGAATTATAAAATGTGTCTCTTTGCCGGGCCGTGTCCGTTCCTGAGACCGGTTGCAGGAGCCACGGGAAGAGAATGTTCTGGTCGACCGGGCTGGGTCAGGCTGGTTGATCTCACCCGCGAACGTCAAGGGCGGTAGTTTCCTAGAGGAAAATCAGGAGGTCTTATGGGTTAGGGGCTGGGTGATACAGCCATAGGCGTTCTCACGCCGAGCCC